CCCCCCCCCCCGCCGCCCCGGGCCTGAATACTACTGGCACATGGACACATGCGCCCACGCGCACGGCCCCTCCATCTCGTCGGCTGGGCGCGGAAAAAAAATCCCCCCATCCCTGAACACAGACGAGTGCCGGCCCTGCCTGGTCGCTGGCTGCCAGGTGTGCTCGGATGCCGGCGAATCCTGCTCCACCTGCCAGGGCGACCTGCTGCTGGTGCGCGGCCCGCCCGGCCAGCCGGACAGCTGCGTCGAGACGTGCCCCGGCGGGCTGACGGCCCTCGGCCGGGTGTGCGGGCCGTCCCTCCATCCCCAGCCCGACCTGCATGTGGCGACCTTGGACAACCGCATCGCCGGGGGGACCGGTGTGTCCACGTTTTGCGCCTCCCGTACATATCTCAAGGCCGGCCGGCTCCATGTGTCCAATGCCTCGCTGGCGGCCCGGGAACCGGAGTCCCTCCTGGCCAGCCTGGCCAGCAGCTCCCTCGGGATGCTGGATGTCCAGCAAATGCGCCAGGATCCCCTGGCCCCGGTGGTGGTGACCCCGGTCCAGGGCATGCCGCTGGTGCCCGGCGTGGAGCACATCCTCGAGATGGGCCCCTTCATCAGCGACCGCAGGGTGAGCCTGCTTTTGCTGGTCGACTGCGGCCCGGGCTGCATGTCGGTCATCCGCCTGGCGTGCACGCTGCCGGGCACGGCCCCGGCCGACGAGTGCCAGCTCCAGGCCCGGGCGTGGGCGCTGGACCGCCACCTCCTGCAGCGCCAGCCCGTGCAGAAGCTCACCCCGTCGGTGGTGTCCTTTGGCCACCATGTGGCCGAGTTCCAGGCCGATGGGTCGCTGATTTTGACCGGGCCCGGTGCCCCGGCCGCGCCAAGCTCCCTGGCCATGGGCTTCCACCGGGACGTGGCAACTGGCCGGCCGGGGCAAATGCTTTACACCCATGCAAAGTCCAGCACACAGGTGCACGCCATCTCCTGGGACATTCGTCGCCGGATGGGCCTCACGACGCAGGCCCTGGCGGCGGCGTGGGCCACGCCCGACCCGGCCCCCCAGGCAGCACTCCTTCGGCCTGAAGCCCCGGCGAGCCCATGTGGCCGGGCCACCGCCGCCGCCACCGCTGGCCCGGGCCAGGGCCAGCCCCCGGGCCAGGCCCAGCCGGCCATCGGCACCGCCAGCAGCATGGTCAGCGACTTGTGGGTCCTTGTCAGCCTGGCGACCCGGCCGTCGGGCACCCCGCCGGCCTCTCGCTCGGAGGACATCGTCCACACCGGCCTCCTGACATCCGGCGGCCAGGTGCACTGGGGTGCTGTGCATCGGCCGCTCGGGGCCCATGCGCAAGGCCGCGTCAATGACATCCCCGGCGGCTGGGAGGCGCTGGCCCCGGTGGCCGGCATCACCGACCGCAGCCCCTTCTTCGCGACCGGGGTGGCCCTGCGCGGGTCCGGCGAATTCCCCAGCGCCCTGGTCATGGTCAGCCAGATGCACCTGGGCGTGGTGCTGCTCCACTGCCCGGCCGGGGTGGCCACATGCCGCCTCGGGCCGCGCCGAGTGGTGGCACTTCCCCCGAGCCAGCGCCTTCTGCCCGCCTCGGGTGGGGCCATTGCCACGCCGCTGCCCGGGGCCTGGCCGCCGGTCGGCGAGCATGCCCCCGGCCCGGCGGCCGCCCTGCTCCTTTCCCCGGTGGCGCCATACACGCAGCCGGTCCTGCTGGTGCGGGTGTCGGTGGCCGATTGCCCGGCCCGCACCTTCGGCCCGGGCTGCCAGCCATGCGACGCCTCCTGCCAAGGCTGCACCGGCCCGGGCCCCGGCGAGTGCACCGGGCCCCGGTGCGCCTTCTTCCGGCCCTCGCAGCCGGATGCCTGCCTGGATGCCTGCCCGGCCGGGCTGCACCCGGATGCCGAGGGGGCCTGCGGCTGCCACGCCGACTGCGCGGCCTGCCACCTGTCGCCCGGCCGGGGGCAGTACATTTGCACGGCCTGCCGGCCGGGCATGGCCTTGGACCCGGCGGCCCAGCCGCCGGACCGGTGCCGCCCCTGCCATGCGTCCTGCTCCGAGTGCCATGCCCCGGCAAGCGCCACCGCATGCCAAGCCTGCCCGAGCGGCGGCCTCCTCGGCCCGGCCGGCGTGTGTGCCGCGGCCTGCCCGGCCGGCACCTGGCCCGACCATGCCGCCGGCACATGTGTCCCCTGCCCGGGCAATTGCGCCGCCTGCACCGGGCCGGACTTCTGCACCGCCTGCCAGCCCTCCCCGCTGCCGGACCCGGCGTCCGGCTGGTGCGTGGCCTGCTTCGAGCAGTGCGCCCAATGCCAGGGCAGCCTGGACGCGTGCCTCGCCTGCCGGCCGGGCTTCCGCTGGGCGGCCGGCGCCCCGCCCGCCGGGCCCGACCAGACGGCCCCCTGCGTGCCCTGCCCCGAGGGCTGTGCCGAGTGCGCGGACGATGGGGGCTGCCTGTCCTGCCGGCCGGGCTTCCTGATCGGCATGGACCCGGGCACGTGCGTCAGCCGGTGCCCGGACGGCACCGCGGCCCACTCGCCATCGCGGGCCTGCCGGCCCTGCCACCAGGACTGCGGCACATGCTTCCAACCGGGCGACGGGAAGGCCTGCAACGCCTGTGCCCCGGGGAAGTTCCTCCAGCCGACCAGCTTCAGCTGCCTGGACACCTGCCCGCAAAGGTACTACCCCGGCAGCGGGGCCTGCATTCGCTGCGGCCCCCTTTGCCAGGCCTGCTCCGGCCCGGGCAAGTGCGACCGGTGCGAGCCCGGGCGCTTTGACCCCGGCGACGGGTCCTGCGCCCTGTGCCCGGACTCCTGTGCCACCTGCTCCGGGCCCGCGGCCTGCGACGCCTGCCAGGGGGGCCTGGTGTTCCTGTCGCCGGACCCGGCCGTCGGGTCGCTGTGTGGCGATGCCTGCCCGGCCGGGAGCTACCCCGGCCCCGACCGGTGCCTGGCCTGTGGCACGGCCTGCGCCCGATGCGCCGGCGATGCGCACCTGTGCGAGGCCTGCGCGCCGGGGCACCGGTGGGCCGGCCACCCGCCGGCCGCCGGGTCCGGCCTCACCGGCTCCTGTGTGCCCTGCCCGGCGCACTGCGACGTGTGCACCGCCGATGACGAGTGCCTCGCGTGCGATGCCGGCTTCTTCCGCCGGGCCCAGAACGGCGCCTGCGTGGCTGCCTGCCCGCCGGGGGAGTACCCGGAGCCGGGCTCGGCCGTGTGCCGCGCGTGCGACGCCACCTGCGGCCGCTGTGCCGGGCCGGCCGGCGACCAGTGCACCGGCTGTGCCCCGGGGAGCGTCCTCTCGCGCGAGGGCCGATGCATCGAAAGCTGCCCGGCCGGCCAGTACCCGGGCCAGGCGGCCGGCGGTGCTGCCGGCCCGGCCGCCCCGCCGGAGCTCCAATGCCTCGCCTGCTCCCCGGCTTGCGACAGGTGCGATGGCCCGGGCGAGGGGGCCTGCACCGCGTGCCCGGCCCCCCGGCTGCTGGAGGCCGGCCGCTGCGTCGACCAGTGCGGCCCGGGCCACTTTGCATGCGCCCCGGCGGGCCGGTGCGCCCCCTGCCCGGATGGCTGTGCCGCATGCCAGCCGGCGGAACAGGCGCCGACCGCCTGCCGGGCCACCTGCACCGGGTGCCATGCCGGCATGGTGCTTTCCCCTGGCACCGGCCGGTGCGGGGCGTTCTGCCCCCCGGGGGAGTTCCTTCCCCGGGCGGATGCCCTCGAGTGTGCCCCCTGCGGGCCGAGCTGCGCGGCCTGCCACGGCCAGGCGGACCGGTGCACCGTGTGCGCCGACGCGGCTGCCTGGCTTCGCCCCGACACCGGCCACTGCCTGGAGTCCTGCCCCGAGGCCGGCTTTGCCGTGTCCCCCGCCGAGAGCGTGTGCCTGGCATGTGCATCGAACTGCGACCGGTGCACGGCCCCCCCGGACACCCGCGCATGCACCCTCGCGCCGGATGGGCGCCTCGATTGCCCGGCCATGTCGGCGTGCGACCGCTGTGCCCCGGGCTACCTCCTTCTGGCCGGGGGCTCCTGCGTGGCCGACTGCCCGGCCGGGCACTTCCCCCGGTGGGATGCCTCGCCGGGCGTGTGTGCGCCCTGCCATCCGAAGTGCGCCGGCGGGTGCACCGGCCCGGAGGAGTCACACTGCGACCGGCCTGCCGGCCATTCGCCAGCCAGCCAGCGTCTGGGTATGTAGCCTCCTGCCCGCGGCTTCCTGCCAGATGCCCCCCCGCCGCACATGCCCCGGCAGCGGTCGCCGGTCTCGCCGTCTCGCCCTGCTCTCTGACCATGTCCCGCTGACCCCGGAACGCCTGCCCC